TTCAGTGAACACATAGGGTGATATATAGATATGTAACTAAATAAACATGAACACAACTGTGAGATTAAAATATATAAACTTATGTATGCTATATAATAAAAACCCTAACTAATTATATTTATTTCTATCTAAAAATGAAAATCACCCTAACACCGCCCACTATGCCGGCCCCGCCAACAGAAACGTTTCCGCCAGGGGAACAAGGCCGAGGCCCGGAGCAAATAAGCCGGGATCCCCGATAAAACCGGGGGAACAGTTCCTCGTCCATCACGTCCAAGCACACATAGTTCCCCGCCCTTAAAGTGAAGGTCCAAAAGGAACCGGCGATCATACACCAGCAGAGACTCAGTCCTTGATACACCAACAATTAAAAACGCCACAATCATCAGCCATAATCAGAATTAGACAGTTGTGAAGCTGAGGCATATATACCTCAAACTAAAATAATTCAAGAATGTTTTTTCTTGAAGACAGTAACACTCAAAGCATGCATTGCAATGTCTGACACATTAGGTTTAAGTAAAGAGGGAGATGCTCTTCAAACACAAGTTTAATTGGCTGTCTTTCCAACTTTCAACAAGAATAAACGTATACATGACAGATAATCCTTGTAGGCTTGCACTTTACTGGATGTACAGACTCGGTAAGACTTTGTTACAACCGCTGCTGATGTATACAGGTGGAACCGTTTTTGCCTGTATACGTTATTTGTGCATAATGTCAGTATGGCTTGATTTAAGTCCCATTTACGTATAAACTATAATTAACTATATCACTTTTATTTCCCAGGTTATCCCTCAGGGTGTAGCCCCCACCCCATGTATCCCATGTTGCCTGGTTGTGACAGACAAGAAGCTGCTAACTTGCCATCAGGACTGTCAGACAAGCTTCTTCCGTTCTCTGGGCAGCGCTGACATCCATGACGTCATCACTGTAAGCCTGGAGGCTGACAAGGAGTACTGTGTCATTGTGAGTAACCATCTGTTTAGCTCCTCCTGGTGTTGGCCCAACATATGGTACAAATGTACATGAAGTTAAATGCTGAACTGAATCCTGGCAGAGGACACATCACCAGGTCTTCCATCGTACCCTTGTAAATAAGTTCCACTCTATAGCCCATTTCAAATGGGATTAACATGGGGAACACGGTGGAATTATTCACTATCGTCCCTGGTAATTTAACTCATTGTTCCAAATGGGAATTTAAACTTTGAAAAATTACAGGATGAAGTCTGCCACTGACATGGACCTTCCATAAGTATAGAGTAGAGTATACTGTAGCTGTTTACTGGTTGGTATTTGTACTTTCACTCTAAATTTGTCTTTCACTACTGGGGACTGGTGCATGCGAAGTCATGTTGAATACAAGTTGCATAGGCCATAACACCCTTATAAAATAGTTTAGAGTAGGGTCTCCTAGCCAAAAGAGGACACCAGTACTTACCTGTAGTTGACCTATAGTTAAACAGTACTTACAGCTGACATTACAACAGCCCATTTGATGAGCTTGTATGAGGTGTACACAGTACATCATATACAGTACAGTAGATCAGCATATAGGGCTGTTAAAATTCTCTTATATTTCGGACCTCTAATGTAAGCCTTCTCTCTGGGTTTTCGCACTTTCTCTCTCTGTTTTGTGAGTAGGAGTTTACAGCAGATGGGGCCCAGTTCCTCCCTCCATGGGTCTTGTACTTCAGCAGCTTTCAAGAGAGAGATCGACTGCTAGAGGCATTAAACAATGCATGGAGAGCTATTTTTCAGGTTGGAAGATACTGTTGATTGTCATTATCATAGGTATAATGCCCCTTTTCCATCGGCTCAACTCCACTCGACTCTACTTGCTTTCGGTACCAGTTGCTTGGTTTTCCACTGCAGACAGTACCCTCTGCATCATAGCTGGTTGTCACAGTGACGCCGTATTACGCTGTGACGTCATCAGCAACCAACATGGTAATATTGGAGGACATTGGAGGTACGCTGTTCTTGATTCTTCGTATGTGGCTGTGTGTCACAGCAAAGAGAAAGTTTGTTTCAGAAACAGCTGAAGCAAGCAAGACAGAAGACTGCTGAAACAGAGTTTGGCAAATGGTACTTTGGAGTTCAGACAACAAGACAACTCTGATTGCTCAAAGGTGATGTAAGAGAATAAGTTACATGATTTCTCTGACCAGTCGCTAGCCTGCAGTGTTTAAGGTCACTGTTTGGTATCACCTCTGCTCGCTTGGAACCTCGATGGAGGTGATACTAAAAATGGTGCCAGGTACTATAAACTTCAACTTGGCGGTATACAATATTTATATGAAAAATGTTACATTTGACTGATGGAAACACAAAAAAGGCAAGTTGAGTCAAGTTGAGCCCGTACCAGGCTGTGGAAAGGGGGCTAAAGGAAAAAGGCAGTAATGTTGCAATAATTTCAGTTTTAAACATTCCAAGAATATCAGCTTGAGTTGGTGTAAATCCACAGCTACTCACACTGGCTGTCAATCTAATTGAACTGTCACGTATGTCCTCACTGTGCACAGGTTGACCTTCCCCACAGAGATGTGTCTGATCCGTTGGTACACAAGCGTTGTGGTGAGGCCCTCACCCTGATGAAGAGTGCCTGGCAGAGGGCAGACAGCTTGGCCCGAGGCAGAGCCCAGCGTGAACCCTGGTGCTGATGGGCACACACACATTTCAGACATCCACGCTTACCTGTGGATATCCACTGAGACAGACTGGTAGTTCAACTGTCTGGTACAGTTCCAGGATAGAGTGTGAGAAAGATTTGTGGATGTCACAATCTGTTACTGCAAACCATTCAGAGTTCTAAGCTGAAAGATGAACCAAACAGATGTGGCGCAAGCTTGCGATGCACGTCCGAGTCGCTGATGAAATATTTCTGTCAAAGGAACTTCCTGCATTAGTAGTAAAGCATGTGGTATAACAGTGAGGCATTCTCACTTGAAATGAAATTAATGAACTTCCTGCATAGTGACAGCGTATTTTATTTGGTTCTGGCCATACTATGCCAATATTTCTTTATCAGAGGTTCTTTAGACATAGCGATGTAGAAAAAAAACATGCTGAATCAAGGGAAAGTTTGGTGTGCTGTGACATGTACTATTCTCCCAGTTGGAAGGAACAGTAATGGATAGATGTACAACTCACATACAGTAGTTAAGTTACAGGAAGACTGAAACAAGTCAAGTATGTTTTGCACTCAAATATAGCCTGCTGAGTTGAGTCATTTTCAGTTTGAGAATTTGGCCTCCACAAAAAAGTAAACATTGAATCATTTTTTAGGTGGAGCATCTATCTTAAAATGAAAACTCAAGTAGAGCTTGCCTTGACTTTGAGAGACAGAACTGAAAATGATCTACGTACTTAATATTGTACTTTGAAGAAGCTGAGCGGATCCAGCAGCTTCTCTGCACAGTGTAATAAGGTACCTGCAAATGAGTTATAATTACTCTGGATGCCTCTTTTGATATATATCAAGAAATCTATATATGACAGGGGCAGTTGCTGCTTGTTTGCAGTGTGGTATAGTTACTCATCGTCTGCGCACACACATAAATACTGTAGCCTCAGAATGTGTTCAGAACCCCTGACTCTTTGCACGCTATTTTATTCTAAATGTTTTTTTTGTCAAGCTAAACCCAATAACCCTTAATACAAAAGTTAAAATGTTTAAAACATTTTTTGTTTACAAAACTGTTACGAATTTGACTGAACATACTTTAAAAAGGCACACACCTTTGTGCATCCCACTGTTGATACTGATTGATATCGATAGGCAAACCTTTAATCAGTTTTACCCATTTAAAATAAAATTTTCAACACTGTTAGCAAGATTATGCAAATGTATATTTTTGCTTGCTCACAGTTACAAGATGTTCTTCTGAACACCAGCTGTGGTATAATTGAAAAGCAAATGTACTGTGCCTTACAGCATCAACCATCAGTGATGATCCAAGTGATACTCAGTTTTGGTTGGTAAAAAGAATTATTCTCACATTCACACTGTACATTTGCCTGAGAGAATCAGGATCTTGGTATGAAACATACCTGGTTATTTAACTTGCACTATTATATGACATACTCCTGGCTGTATCGTCTATCTGAAGTCTTGCTTTGCCAGTTTTAAATGTTGTCACTCATATAAATCAGGAAATGCAACAGACTTGCCTTTTTTGCCACTCTGTAAAGATGAGTGGAGGCTTACATGAAGATTTGCACATTGGTTTTGTTCAGTCTTTTTCTTTGTACCAGTATTTATATATAGATTTTTTTTTTTCAATTTTAGAGAATGTGGGAACAGTTGTTTTTAAATGATCTGATTGGTGAAATTGTTTTGGTATTGGCTTTTTTTTTTTTTTTTTTTTTTGCGAGAGCTACAAGTCTTCTCATTTTTATTTTACGAGTGGTTGGTGGCATCACACTGTGCCGTCGATTACTGACACTAGATTAGAACATCCCATTCAGCACTAGTTATCATTTAGTGCTGTAGGACTGGGTGTGAGTTTTAGAAAATTTTTAAACAATCTTTTAATTTCAAGCAAGTGAAACACCTGTTCTTAGCAGTTTACTGCTTTTAAATGACCTCTAATATCATTTTTTTCCCCCTGGGGCTATGAAAACGATTTGAAACCTTTACATGCAGGTGCCACAGCTTAATGGCTATATAGTCGATCAGCGGTACAAATAAGTCTAAATGAGCATTCGTACATGTTTTACCGGAAGGTGGCAGCTATAGGCTATTTATGATTAAATTATTATTAGACTGTTTGGTACTTTAATGCAATGTTAAAATTATAGGATTACTACAAGAAAGAGAACAAAAGCGTCAAATGGTTTTTTTCTTCTTCTTTTTTATGGAGGGCTGCCATTTCCAACAAAACACAAAATTGATTGTGTAGTGGAGAAAAAAAATCCACTGCCATGAGTGGGCTTACTTAAAAACGGAGTATCTATAAATAGCTATGCAGCCCTATCCTTCCTGTGTTTGTGCAAATGAAATAAATAGCCAAAATGCCGTAGCACCTGGATGGCCTACATTTGTAATAAATGGAAGCGATGGACACTACGCTGCCCCGTCACCTCACGGTGGCGACTTTTTTAAGTTTTGATATTTTTGCAGTCGAAAAAAGTAAAGCTAGTTTGGAAATTTGCTTCGATGTTTTCAGAGATGTGATGACCTGTTAATGTGCCAGCTAGCTAGCTCTACTTAGCTGGCATAGCTGTGGTCACTGAGTCAGGGAACCACTAGAGAACTGACCCCTGTCCTAAATTATAGCCAGTCAGTAGTAATGTGGCATGTGTTACAGGCTGTCATTAACACTTGATTAGAGTGGCTTGCTACTACTCGGTCAGTGCTCTCATTGCAAGGAGAAGTGTGAGGTGTCTTTTGCAGTGACAGTGTTGCCTTTTTGACAGCCTTGACTGCACTAGACAACATGGCTCATGTGTTTATAGCTAAATGAAGCACGGTTTTTCCCTTTGAAAAGCTGCCTTATGCTGCACAATTTGGCTGTCTTAGGTTACTGTGGTTTTTGGACAAGTCAGAAACGTGCTTTGTTTGGGACTTAGTGTCAAACCTCTGTACTCTCAGTACAGATGTATTACTGCAATTGGTAGTATAACTTACTTTAAGTATAGTACGTTACACGTCGCAATGCTCCGACGACGAAGGGGCGTCTGCCAGAGGTATAAATAAGGAAGCCAACAAATCACTGGAATACGCCTCAGGTGTGCGCACCGACCCACGAGTCACTAATAATCCGATACGACACAGCTGAGGCATTGATCTCCCGCAAAAAGGATAAGCAGGCGAGGAAAAAAAAAAAAAGAGAGGCTGGTTGCGCCGAGCGGACCTGACAAAAATAGAATTTTCCCATTAATTTGAATGGGGCAAGAATTTCAGAATAAAGTTAAATGTTTCAAATGTATGAAGTTTAGAATACTTCTGAAGAGAAGCATGAATGTCCTTGAGGAGCTGAACATGTTGATACCTGAAATAGCTGAAGTAGAAATTTCACATTGATTTGAATGTGGCAAGATTTTCAAAACAAATATTTAAACATTATGAAGTTTGGAAAACTTCTGAAGAGAAGCATCAATGTCCTTGAAGAGCTGAACATTTTAATAGCTGAAAGTATGCAGAAGTAAAAATTTCCTATTCATTTGAATGGGCAAAAGTTTGCTGAAAGACACTAAATAGTTTAAAAAGTATAAAGGTTATACAGATAAATGGCATAAATGTCCTTAATGAATGGTTTTCATAGCTGAAAGTATGCTGAAAAAATGGATGGAAGAAACCATAATAATAAAGACCAGGATAACATAGTATGGATGCTGACTCAGCATCCATGAATGACCTTGGTTTCATTTGTGGGTTTGAAATGGGCATTTTCTGACTTGTCTCTGGCCAGACATTTCAAGATGGTCCTTGGATTAATACTGAAAGTCAGTTGCAGCTCTCATTGTTTACCTTCTAGGTGTTGCCAATGACATGCCTTGTACCCAGAAGAAATCATGTTTGTGGCAAAGACCTGTGTGGATGTCACACATCTGCTAGTGATAGCCGTTTCTTTTCAAGTTTAATAAACACTATTTCAAGCAGCAATATGTCTTTAATTACTACTTTATTGTATTGCTACTTTATCACTTGAGAAACAAGTATGTATTGTCAAAGAAGCAGTTTTGTTACATCTGTGTGAAACGTGTTGATGTGATATGACTGCATTCTCAATGCTAAATGTGATTGTGGCTGCAGGGAAATATCTGCACATCTTGTAAACTGTGAATTTTAGGTCAGAATGCTTGCCTTTATGGGGGTTTTATTTTCTGTGATAGGTTTGTGGCAGTCCAAACTTCAGTGGTACAGTGCTCGAGTAGGATATCTACTTAGGATTAAGTGCAGTCGAGGGGTGACACTGGTTCATTGTTTGGGATTTGATTCACTATGCATATTCCTGTCCCACTACATGGTTGTACAGTTTCAAGCTGACACACTAAAATCAACATGAGTTTGTGTTGAAGACCATGTGTCTTATTTGACATGTCTGTAGTAGACTGTATACTTAGCCTGACATTTTGTGCTAGGACTCATATTCTATCTTCAAAGTCCAAACAGCCCATAGCTTAGCAGATGTTCAATAGGCTAGGTGGCATATGTGATCTCATTTCAAATGTTTAAAAGCGGAGTATCTATAAATAGCTATGCAGCCCTATCCTTCCTGTGTTTGTGCAAATGAAATAAATAGCCAAAATGCCACAGCACCTGGATGGCCTACATTTGTAGTAAATGGAAGTGATGGACACTACGCTGCCCTGTCACCTCACAGTGGCGACTTTTTTAAGTTTTGATATTTTTGCAGTCGAAAAAAGTAAAGCTAGTTTGGAAATTTGCTTCGATGTTTTCAGAGATGTGATGACCTGTTAATGTGCCAGCTAGCTAGCTCTACTTAGCTGGCATAGCTGTGGTCACTGAGTCAGGGAACCACTAGAGAACTGACCCCTGTCCTAAATTATAGCCAGTCAGTAGTAATGTGGCATGTGTTACAGGCTGTCATTAACACTTGATTAGAGTGGCTTGCTACTACTCGGTCAGTGCTCTCATTGCAAGGAGAAGTGTGAGGTGTCTTTTGCAGTGACAGTGTTGCCTTTTTGACAGCCTTGACTGCACTAGACAACATGGCTCATGTGTTTATAGCTAAATGAAGCACGGTTTTTCCCTTTGAAAAGCTGCCTTATGCTGCACAATTTGGCTGTCTTAGGTTACTGTGGTTTTTGGACAAGTCAGAAACTTGCTTTGTTTGGGACTTGGTGTCAAACCTCTGTACTCTCAGTACAGATATATCACTGAAATTACTGCAATTGGTATTTTTTACCAAAACTTGGGTACTGACAGGCACCAGTGTCAAAAACTTTCAGATGATACACAGCCCTATACATACACGACAGCTCAAACGTTTGGACACACTTTCCTATTCAAATGAATGGGAAGGTGTGTCCACACCTTTGGCTGGTTGTGTATGTCACTTACGTATGTTTGTACAAATGTCTGTGTCCATCTCAGTCACACTATGTTACTCTTGCATCAGCATTAATCAGTGCTTTAAGCTTTTCTAAGTGGCACTCATCTGTTGCTCTTTTACAAAGAAATCTAATCTCAGGTGGAAAGTGTTTTATTTGTCTAGTTTTTTTTTTTTTTTTTAAACGGTTCCTCCCTTGTTTCATGCAGCATTATGAAGTTCTTTTGCACTCACAGAGAAGGCTGGAAAGTGATATCATTTGGTGGAACAGATTTTATGTTTGTTCTTTAATAATTCCAAAGTAGGATTGGCTTACCATGTATTTGAAATCCTGTCTCCCAGTGGATTACTTAAGGCCTTTTTACCCAGAGAGAGATTAGTTGCAGTAGTTGGACTTACTTGAAAAATGTGTTGGATTATTAGTAGAAATGGAAAAAAAATTGCTCAGAGTTGTGGCCTATGGAGTGTATATAAAGAAAGTCAGTCTTTTGAAGTGTTTTGAATGTAGGCCATTGCCAGGCAATGATGGATGATGTCTTTTAAGTAATGAATGTGGGGAGGCTTTTTGACTTTGTTTGTAAATGTATACAGTCTGTAATATTTGTATTATGTTCAGCCATTTTATTGTATTGTAAATAGAACACTAATCAAATATAACCTACTGAAAACTCACAAAGATGTGCCTGTCCAGAAGGTTTTATACTGTTCATAATAGTAAATAAAGTACAAATAGACCATTGTGATTGGACTGTGTAACTGAATAAACTGATATGAAATCATGACTCCTGTGGTGAAACGCATTCTAAATGTACCACTATCAGTGCCAAGTAACGTTTATGTTTCTGTTATAGGTCAGTGAAAAACGTCAGAACAGTCATGTTAGAGCAGGTGCAGAAGATTCATTCAGGTAAGAGAGAAGTTGTGCATTAGGTAAATAAATAGTTGACCTAGAAAATGTAGTCTTCTGTGCACACTGTACTGTCTGGAGTTTGTTATTGTTGATTTGTGTCCAAGTAATTACCTACTTGAATATGTGACTTGTAAGCGCTCTCTCTCCAGCCGACACAACTAGTTTGAATCTGAAGCTCCCCACACTCTGACATTTGAAAGGAACACTGAAGGAGACATTTAAGGTGTGATGATTGAAAAGCCTTAGTTTCCAGATCACACATCGACATAATGACACATATATTTGCGTGTGTGTGTGTGTGTGTGTGTGTGTGTGTGTGTACACAGTGCCTTGCGAAAGTATTTGGCCCCCTTGAACTTTGTGACCTTTTGCCACATTTCAGGCTTCAAACATAAAGATATAAAACTGTAATTTTTTTGTGAAGAATCAACAAGTGGGACACAATCATGAAGTGGAACGAAATTTATTGGATATTTCAAACTTTTTTAACAAATAAAAAACTGAAAAATTGGGCGTGCAAAATTATTCAGCCCCTTTACTTTCAGTGCAGCAAACTCTCTCCAGAAGTTCAGTGAGGATCTCTGAATGATCCAATGTTGACCTAAATGACTAATGATGATAAATAGAATCCACCTGTGTGGAATCAAGTCTCCATATAAATGCACCTGCACTGTGATAGTCTCAGAGGTCCGTTTAAAGCACAGAGAGCATCATGAAGAACAAGGAACACACCAGGCAGGTCCAAGATACTGTTGTGGAGAAGTTTAAAGCCGGATTTGGATACAAAAAGATTTCCCAAGCTAAACATCCCAAGGAGCACTGTGCAAGCAATAATATTGAAATGGAAGGAGTATCAGACCACTGCAAATCCACCAAGACCTGGCCGTCCCTCTAAACTTTCAGCTCATACAAGGAGAAAACTGATCAGAGATGCAGCCAAGAGGCCCAGGATCACTCTGGATGAACTGCAGAGATCTACAGCTGAGGTGGGAGACTCTGGCCATAGGACAACAATCAGTCGTATACTGCACAAATCTGGCCTTTATGGAAGAGTGGCAAGAAGAAAGCCATTTCTTAAAGATATCCATAAAAAGTGTCATTTAAAGTTTGCCACAAGCCACCTGGGAGACACACCAAACATGTGGAAGAAGGTGCTCTGGTCAGATGAAACCAAAATCGAACTTTTTGGCAAGAGGAGACAAGCTGCAGCAAAGAAGAAGATAGTGTGGGTCTGCCAAAATCAGCTTCTCCTCCATTTAATTTTGTGGTCTGTCAGGTTCTCTGTAAATGAATATGCTGAGGTGTCATCACAGAGTGCTGCACCCAAGTTAAACTTCTTTTGCAACATATGGATTGCAGGCACTGTGAGTTGAACCTCCAGCTCTCCAGTTGGGAGATGACTGCTGTAACCACTGAACCACACTCGTTGAGTCGTAAATTGAGTTAACTTCTAGATGGTGCCAACAATGCAACTTGGTGAAAGAAGAAACCTAATGTGTGTGGTAGGTATGTGTGAAGATGTCACGTACCTTCCAATGATTTCACTTCCAACTGTAAAGTAAAGTATCGGTGACATCACTGCTGAAAACAGACAAATTCTCAAATGAATCAGAGAGTCTTGTTTAGAAATCATCTTTTTAGCTTCCACTGTTAAATATGAAGGAATAGAACGTGTGAACACACAGTGTTTTATTTTCTGATAAAGACTGTGGCCTACATTGATTTTCATGGAAACCTGCACCAACCTTAGCCATAAGCACGACTTGCCAAACATTAACATTAAACCGGGTCGCCATTCTAAAACTGCCTTTTATAGAAGGGACTGGTCCCCATGAGGATGGCTATGTCCACACAGTGTCAGTATTACCAGAGAGTGCACCCACTGATTCGTAAGTGGGCACATTATGCAACTGAGCAAATGTACTTTGTCCCATCTCTTGTTAGTGTATCAGCTAATCAGCACCATGGATAGAGACTGTACACGGATCAGCACCACGGACAGAGACAATGCAGCACCAGCTCACAGCACATGGCTCATTTAGCAAATGCAAAGTGGTCAAGTCTAATGCACACTTGCTTTTCTGGTTCATGTCTGTTCAGCAATTCAAAACGTGCACTATACCATATTTTACGTAGCTAACCCATAAAGTTAACATTTAAATTTGTGGAGCCCTTTGGGGATATTTTGTTGCCCCACCGGGAGGAGGCCCCGGGGAAGACCCAGGACACGCTGGAGGGACTATGTCTCTCAGCTGGCCTGGGAACACCTCAGCATTTCCCCGGAGGCGCTGGAGGAAGTGTCTGGAGAGAGAGAAGTCTGGGCATCTTTGCTTAGACTGCTGCCCCCGCGACCCGGTCCCGGATAAGCGGAGGAAAATGGATGGATGTTTCTATGGTTGTTGCTGAAAAATGTATCCTTGAACTTTATATTTAATGATATTAACAATAGAAGCAAATTTTTTTCATGAAATAACAGGTGTCAAGGTATTATGAGTTTTTGAAGAAAGACTCATAATGTTCATCTGTTAGAGTTGTTGTATTTACTTCTTTCAAAGAAATCCACTAAATATCATTTGTTTAGGGTTGTCCAAGCCTTTGCATACTATTATATATTTCACATTATCATATTCAGCTACCCAGCAGATCATCTGCCTTTTACAGCTTTTCATCACTGGAAGCTCCGCCACAGCATTCAGGCCTGTAAGTGCCTTAAGAGCTTGTTGACAAATGATTTTGAGAGTTTCCTTAAAACCCAGTGGTACACTTTTTATTTTGCCATGTAGAAGATGTTAAAATTACTGTCATTTCTTTGATCTATGTCTTTCCAAAAAGCTTTCCAGCAGGTGGTTAGCAAATATTAACTTGTTTTTAGAGCAGCTATTTAGTTATATTGATGCTGAGGAGGAGACAAGCTGCAGCAAAGAAGAAGATAGTGTGGGTCTGCCAAAATCAGCTTCTCCTCTATTTTCTTTGTGGTCTGTCAGGTTCTCTGTAAATGAATATGCTGAGGTGTCATCACAGAGTGCTGCACCCAAGTTAAACCTCTTTAACTTAAGCACAGCGCGCAGGGATGGCATGCATGGCTTTGCACTGCCCTCAGCTAAGTGCAGCACATTGAAATGAATGGATTCGATAGAAGAGCGCAGCACCCACTGCATCCTACCTGAAAATGGCTTAAGCGTTTGGTTGTCCAGCACTGTGTCTGAGATCAGACTCAGGGCAGTTAAAAGGACCTGGGTGCACCGTGGAGGTCTGCTCAGCTGATGGGACACCTGAGAGAACTGCGTATGGCCCTGATGCACTGGTCCAGCTCAGATAACTCTGGGCCAGCCTGTTCTTCTCCACTGGTTGGCGTCTCTCTTCTGTTTGTTTTGTTGCCTCATAATTACGTTAAACCATCTTTTTAATTCGTCAGTTGGCTGTGTGCCCTTCTCCTTTTACGGTGTTTGCTGAACGATTTAAGGCCTTTACATGCCTTTAGCCACATTTTTAAAAACTATCTCTTCTACTCCCCAAACTAAATTTCTGCAGTTTCCCTTCAATATATAAATTATTTTAATATTTTTGCATATATTATTTTCTCTATTCAAAAGCCTACTTGGAATCTCAGTTGAAACTGTAGTTTGCCTGAGAAGACCTCTGGGAAAGGTGTTCTCATGTGCAGTGGTATCAATTAACTATCTTAACCTAACTGACTGTAGGCACTGTGCTGTGTTTCAGGTGACTCTGCTCTTTCATTTGCAATTTTAATACCTCACTTTCTGTTAGCCCTACACTTCCTGCTTTCTCCCAGGGATGGAGTTCCTCATCCATTAATAATTTACCTTAACTGTGTTTACATTTCAAATCCACTTAAATGAAATGTACAGAACAGCTTGTATGGAGGAGGGAATACCATTATTTTCAAACGGAACATTTCTTGTATCTTACAGCCTGCAAAACGGTATGTTAGATGGAGCTTGGACTTCATTCCCCCATTCTCTGCCCCTGACTGACTATTACATTATTTAGAGGTGGGGATGTGCACTGTACTGTATGTCCTGATGTACATTTCCATTCATGCAGGCAGCAAAGTAGCAGCTACTGCCTGCATGCTAGGTCCATTACGTTATTTCACAGCGACAGTATCTAACAGCAGAGCCAGTCGAATGCAGAGACAGGAGAGAGAGGGAGGACAAGGGAATCACAGATTGCTGCAAATCCACACTTCAGCAGCAGCCTTGTTTTTGCTACAGCAAAGGTGCAGTATCAGCCTTTTTCTCTTGTTTCGGTCTTTCTCCACAGCATATCTGAGGTTATCTGTGACATACTGCAGTGATGAGAATATATTGCCTCTGCAGTAAAATTTCATGTGAATACTGACTACAATAGGTGTCCTGCCACAGGACCTTTTTTTATCTGTCATGCTGAGGAAGGGCTCGGGGCTGCTGAAGGGAGACAGAGAGGTCCTTCTGGATCTGGACTGTACTGGTGAAGCACAAACAACAGACAGCTATGGGAGTCTGCAGAATGGGGGCTTCATCCCACCAAGATATGTAAGAACAGTTTTACTTTTTTTCCTAAAATGCTGCCGTATTTTCTCCTTTTATATAGGAATCACATAAACGGGGAAAATAATTGCACATATTTTCACACAGCATCCGTTAATTACTCTGCTTCCCTGCCTCATCCCCTCACACCTCACTGATTTTTAAGAGATATTGCTGTGGTTCGAAGGGTTTTATTCTGTGCTACAGGGTGCAGTATACACGACCAAAAATATCTTGTGGTCACACGACTTTGCAGCACTGAACGATGGTTCACAATCATTGAACAAAAATGCTCAGTAGCCTGGTCATTTTCCATCTTATCTTTCTGGACTCATTAATGCAAAGTGGAGGCTTTTATGCTGCTATGTAATGACAGGATTTTACGGTTAAACCTCATCAAAAGGAAATTAAACATTCACTTACCAAACAAAGGGTTAAGTGCAGGAAAGTGAATATAAAAGTATTTTTTTCCTGCATCTGACTTGTTTTTAATTGACAGATCTTGATAATAGCTAAAGTGTGTGGATGCTTTCAGCTTTTGGCCGCAGCTGCTGCTGATGATCCCATTTATATGCACTGTAACACAAGAAATAACCAGCCACTTCCACAGCTGGGGAATTACTTCAAAGATGGAAGAACTAAAATTGGTAGGCCGAATCAATAGCTCCTATTATATTGTTGTCACAAGTTCATTGATGTACGAGTCCTTCATTTAACCTTTTGGTTCATAGTGTTATGTTTGATCTGGGTTTAGATTTTGTGCTGGTATGGGAGGTTCGCTCGCGGAGGAAACGACGAGGGAATAGTGAGGTGACCGGTAAGGAGAGTGAAGCTGTCCCCACTCAGGAGAACAGCAGGTCTGAAAGGAGAAAGGCACAACTAGCACAGTGGAGGGAGAAGTTTGTTCAGAATCTCAAGAGTGCTGGATTGCTCATGGAAGAGGTACTGTACTGTGAATCAGATTAAAAATTATTTATCCTGTTAACAAGCTCTAAATGTGACTTTTCAGTTAACAACTTCTCTTTGTTGCTTCTCAATAGGAGGAAATGACAAATGAAAAGAAAACGATTCATTTTCTGAAACTTAGCGCTCCCTGGGATGTGTTGGTGTATTATGCTGAAGAACTCTGTCTGAGAGCTCCATTGCAGGTTGACACAGCTGTTTATAATTCATTATTACCAGTTCAAAGTTAATGATTCCATTGAACCCTAAACTTTTATATTATCTGTGACTGGATTTTTTTTAGCAACAGCTATTCAGTGTATTTCTATAAGTACTTGTGGGCTGGCATTGTTTGGTCTGTCTGTTGATTGATTGGTCCAGTATTTTGCTCCAGATTGAAATATCACAACAGCTAATGTATGGATGTCATGCAGTTTTGTATAAACATTTAAATGTATGCTAGAAACTTCAGTCATCTCTGGTTTACTCGAGCACCACCACATGGTTGACGTTTTTGATACTGAGCAAAATATCTTCACAGTTATTTAAAGAACTACCATAGAATTTGGTGCATATATTAATGTGCCCCTCAGGATGAATTGTAATCACTATGATGAGCATTATATATGGTACACTGTGAACATTATGTCTACTAAATGTCAGCATGTTAACATTGTCATGTTGAGCATGGTGGCATTAGCATTTAGCTCAGCACAGCTATGCCTAAGTATCACGTAGCTGCTAGCATACAGTAGCTGTAGATGCTTAGTCTTGGTATTAAACCAAACCTAATTTTTCATTGTCACTGTCAGCAGGATTCAAATTCATACCCATGCAAGAGCATGCACATATATTATTGATGTAGAGGACAAACGCCGAGTTTCACTGTTTCAGATGACATTGTTGACTGTTCTTTAGTCTTCTTTTTTGAACCATGATTCACTGAGTCCTTTTCAACCCAATTTTCCTGTGTTGTAAAGAGACATAAGTTGCTTTTCTTCTGTTGCATTACTGGACAGAGTAGCCTCTCAGGTTGTGTTTGCTTCCCATCAGTGAGCAATGCGCATATCATTTCAAACAAAACTCTAAAGACAATGTTGACAAAATATTTATTTCCTATTTTCCAATGTGTGATGTGTGTTTGGCTCCTAGGCACAGCCAAATCTGGACTTAAACACATCAGCTCGGGTACTAAGTAGACTATGCATCCCTAACGTAATGACTGAGTCAGTGCCAAACAGGCCACTGGACTATTACACATGTGCCTTTCGCAAGTCAAAGATGAACAGGTGAGTTCTGGTTAACTTTGGTCAGTAATTTTTTATCAGCTCGGATTGTGTTTCACTACATACAGGTATAATTGACTGTTGCAGATTTCTTGGCTGTGATGACCATGAAACCTACTTCACTAACACACAGAGACACCGTGTGGTGAGAAATAGGTCGTTCTCTACAGTATACTGGATGTATTCAGTGTTTGTTTTCTCAAATAGAGTGATAGTTTGTGTTTTGTTTCAGGTGTATGAGATTCTTGCCAGCACGGTGTATGGCAAAAGGAAGAGGGCTGAAATTGGCGTGGACAGACTGATAAATGAAGGGGCGTACACTGCAGCTTTCCCTCTTCATGAGGTCAGATATTAGTTTGCTTAAAAAAAAAAAGATCAGACATAAAACTAGTATAGTTTTTCCTCTAATCAGCAGCATGTACCTTTTTTTTCCACCCCCACAGGGCCCTTTTCAGCTTCCAAATTTTGAGATCCGTCCTGATGAGCTAAATCAGAGACAGGTTCTTTACCATTATTGGGCCCGCTGGTGCAAATGGTACAAGTACCAGCCACTGGACCATATCAGGGAGTACTTTGGAGAGAAGATAGCATTCTACTTTGCTTGGCTGGGTAAATGAAAGTTCTTATTCACCCTTATAATGTACATCACCCTTTTAAACATTTTATCTCCCTCTCTATTGTTGTATGGATTTAATTGTTTTTTGACACAGATCAACAGAAAAAAATCAAAACACCTCAACATTTATTTTAATTCTGTTCATATATAAAACAAATAATTAATTGTAATTGTATTTATCAAAGGTGACATGCCTTTATTTTGAGTGACCCAGCCAATTGCGTTGACATGTTGCATAATAAGTTGAATGGAGATCAGCTGTGGCTTAGTGCCAGACCTTTGCATAACTGTCCAATCCCACATTTTTATAGTCATTCAATCATTGAATGACGGGAATTGGAATAGTAGTAAAGTGTGGTTATCAGGCAAAGGCACCTATGTGTAAGCAAGGTATGCAAAGTGACTTGAGGTTAATTAAATCTGTAAATGGAGGGTCCAACAGCTGATTTATAACATACTTAGGAATATAGCAAGTACTTTTACAAAATGTAATTGCTGCTCTCAAGCTACAACCAAGGAAGCGTTTACTTTTCTAGACACATAGTGCCTCATAGGTTTTTTTGTTTATGTTAACAGTTGCGTGTTTTACATAGACAGCAGAAGTCCATATTGGCATGAGAAGTGAAAGCTATTACATCTGAACAATGAAAGAAGTGTAGCACACAGCACCACAGAAAAAGTAGAAGAAGCTTGAGACGGTAAACAGACACAGCATGAAATATATTGCCTGCAATGCCAATCAGACTTCATCAACCATTTTCCAGTGATTATGTATCCCCAGTCCATCAGCCTAATAGAGCTTTGTCTCCAGGTTTCTACACAGCCTGGCTACTGCCTGCTGCAGTGGTTGGAATGCTGGTCTTTGTGTCTGGAGTCATGTCCATGGGTACCAACACACCAGCGTGAGTCCATGCGCTATACAGAAAACACATACAGTATTCGAGTAACACAAAATAAATGACCAAGTATATCTTTATTTATATAGCACTTTTCAATACCATGGTTAACAATATACAAAAATATAAAACATAAATATACCTACTCATAAACATTTGCATACATACTATAGAACATAATAAAGCACATAATACACACACACACACACACACACAATTAGAATGCATAAAACCCTGCATACACAGAACAGAGTCCAGCATACACAATCAAAAAAAGGAAGAACGTCAATAAAGTGTCCTAAAATAAATGCGTTTTAAGAAGAGGTTTAAATTGATCAGCAGAATCTGCTGATCTAACCTCTAGAGGGAGATCGTTCCCTAAAGCGGTGCCATTACAATAAAGGATCGGTAACACAGCATTTTTTTTTTCTAATTTGTCTGGTAACTTCTATAGCTAGTGCTAAATTTTCTATCACTGCCTCCATTTGTAGAATAAACATGATTTCAGTCAAATCATTCTTGAGCTGTCTTTTTGTTTCTAATTGCTGTGATTATATAATGATTTTAGTGCAATCCTATCAGTATTGATGATTCTGATGAATTGACTGAGTATACTCATACTTCAGAATAAACCTAAACACTCTGATTCACTTCAGTATGTCAGGTGTTGCTGCTCCAGCTTTACTTGGTCTGGTAGGTCAAGGTGGCTAATGTTAGTAACCTTTAGGTTACTGTACTGTATATGGTTAGGTAAGAACTTTACTGTGTCAGTTTCTTGTCTTTTTAACTCTTCAATACTTGTGCTTCTGTTACAATTCATCATATCACAAACGTTTCAGTGGCTGTATTCCCAAATTACCACCAATAAGTAGACAGATCATACCATATCCAGTGCATGTTTGAAGTCTCACTCCACTGTCTCTATGTCAAGTCGCTTAATGCCGTTGTCTTTAAAGCAAGTGACCCAAGAGATTCCTGGGAAATAAGAGGAAAATCAATATGCTATTATCCAATTGTCACTTGTGGGATGTTGAAAAATTCATGATGTTAGGGTGAGTTAAGTGGTGGAACTGTTTGTTGGTGAATAATGACTAAGCACACTCACTTCCTGGAGTCTTGTCATCATGGTGAGATTGTCAGATTGTACAGACATCTATACCAAAACTCATGTTTACTGACCATATCTGGAATCTGGCGCCATGGCCATACTTCAGCTCTGTATTTGGTGCACAGATATTAAATTAGTGCCAGTCTATTCATCGTACTCTGTGTATTTCCCAAAAGGTATTTTTAAAGCATACCAGGCATACCCAGAAATAAAAACTGTGCTTGCACATTTTCTCCTAAATTATGTTGAACAAACACAATTTCAGATGAAACTATTTCAAAGTGCAGCCTGCTCTGCATGAAACAAACTCTATAATTATGCATTATTTATCACCACAGGCTCTTCTCTAAAGTAGGTGTACCTTATTAGGATACATGCACTCTATTGTCTTATCATACATTTTGAATTTCATCTCGTGGGTTTTAGTAACAGATGATTCACCAAATATGAAGTAACCAGGGATGTTGGAGAGAACAGAAGAACAATCAGTACCTTAGTAAAGAAAGTAAACGACTTTCAGATTCATGAGGTTCATTAGTTCACACTGTAGATTAAAGTCATTAATTAGTGGAGAATGTATGGAGAGCAGTTTCAAATAATGGTAAACAGCATCAATCTCATGTGATATTGGACAGTTAACACCCCAGTAAAGTCCAGACTTTGTGCAGCAGATGTGATCTCATGTGTGGTCATGATTTCACCAACTCATTGAATAACTCCAAGTGTAAGTGCAGTAGCTACAAGACCAACAAGCTGAGGGGCTGATTTTAACACCTTGCATCTGTGCTGGAGTTGATGTACTTTGTTAATTCACCCAGTCCCTTAGCTCTCACACTAATAACTGAGCATACTCTATGTAAAGAAAGGGGCATATATGTATTTTTCTGTCAATCCAGTTGACCACCTGATTCATCGGTATTTGAAAAGCAGTGGTTTGAAGGCTTTAAAACATGTTTTCTCACTTGTAACTAATTTGTCTTTGTATGCGTGTTAACAGTAAAGAAGTCTGTACCAAGGGAGCCAGTTATCTGATGTGTCCTCTCTGTAATACATGTAAAGCCTGGAACATGTCTGATATCTGCACTATGGCCAAGGTAATGAACTTTAAAAACATTTAGCTGGTAAACAGCCTAGTTTGTGATCATCATGCAAACAGATTTAAAGCTCTTACTTGCTTTAAATAGTGTGCTTTATACCTTTTCTGCATTGCAGTTGGGCTACTTATTTGACCACCCAGGTACGGTCCTCTTCAGTGTGTTTATGTCCTTCTGGGCTGTAACCTTTCTGGAGTACTGGAAAAGAAAGATGGCCACCCTGGCCCATCACTGGGGCTGCATGGACTTCCATGAAGAAGAGGTCTCATCATCCTTCTTTGTGTCTTGCTTTTATTATACTGTATGTATGATCATACTAGTCCCATGCAGGCCCCCCTCACGTTCCTGGTACTTGATTTTAGTAGTACCTCCTGAGGGGTGCTGAAATTTAGCTCTCAGAAAGCACCTCCTAAGTGGATGCACCATAGTGGAAATAAACACAGAACTTGTGACGAGCGTTACTCGGTGCGACACGTTCCTGTAGGTTCTGAAAATGGAATTTGTCTTTATCTTTGAATTTCTTCTTTTGTTATTTTATTGACCCTTAATGCTGTATCTGAAATAAAGTTTTGATTGATTGAACCTTTCTGACAAACACAACACCATGCTAATCTTCACTGGCACATTTGTTGAGTAATGTTTAAGCATTTAGATATATTAAGCTTTATTTTCCTGTCACAGTCTTTATCATTTGCAGAGTGCTGCATTTGACAGTGCTGTTACATTCTCATTTCCAAGGACACAGCAATAAACAACACAGCAAAAAAATTAAGTTAAGCACCTCACCTCTGGGGCAACTACTCAGGCGTTTTCTGGTATGCATACCTCTCTGTACTTGTGTTCATGTGGACTTGTAAAACATCATCAGTCACAGTCCATGTACTGGTCCAATTCATAGTCTGCATCCAGATAAGTGTGCATCAAAAAAAGCAGACTTGTTCTTGCTATGCCTATTTTATCGGGGATGCTTTTGGAGCTGACTTGTGTGGACTTGAGGCAGCTTAAGAATCCCAGTGCCACCTTTTGGAGCCGTTATAATTTTCATCCTAGGACTGGTATTACGAGAAACTAGCCACTTAGACTGAGAATATGTGATCAGTTTATCAAAGTAATGCTGATTTGGAAATTTTCTCTGAAGTTTTCAAAGATGCCAGTACCTGCTACTGGACTAGCTATCTACACTGCTCAAAAAATAAAGGGAACACAAGGGAAAATAAGACATTCAACTATGTAATGAACAAGGTATTTAATAAGAATATTTCATTCATTCATGTCTTATTGTTGTGTTCCCTTTATTTTTTTGAGCAGTATATAATTAGGGGGCAGCTGCATCTTGGTCAGAGCAGTCTGTTAGCAAGGACACTGGTCAATTGCACATTGTGAGTACTGTGTCCTTCTGTCCTCTACAGTTTGTGCCTAAAGTTTGAAATTACCAGGTCAAACTCCCAGGTATAGGAGCCCAAATTTGGCATACTTGGTATTAAAAAAACGCCTGTGGTTCCTGGACCTGAAGTCTGCAGCTGCACTGTCCTCTGCACCCCAGTATAGTGTGTTTATTGATACTGATGTCATCACTGTGTTTCCTCAGGAGCGTCCTCGGCCAGAGTTTGCAGCCATGGCCCCAGCTGTGGAGCAGAATCCAGTAACTGGGGTCAAAGAGCCCTATTTTCCAGAAAAGACCAGGCTGTCTCGTATGTTCACTGGCTCCATGGTCATCATCATGATGGTGAGACACTGTTTTAAGTGTTTTGAGGGCAGTGTTATATTCAGAGGTGTCTCTCTATTTTTTTCCCCACCAGCTACATACATGAGAGGGTCAGAATATTAGAAACACCTCTGAATATAATGTAGGCCAGTGCAACACCACCTTTAACTATGACCTCAATAATAAGCATATAATTGAATTTATGCATTTGACAATTTCACCAAAAACTGAAACATCCATAAACATGGATGTTAAGGTGGAAGTGTTGTATTGAGGTGCATACAATTGAAAAGGTGTACCTAATAAAGTGACCGGTGAGCGTATATATCCTCTCATATGTCTCATTAGTATTTGGTTGTAATGCTGTATCTAATCAGATCCCACACTGTATGTGAAAACATGTTTTCCTTGTTCATTCTTGTCTCATCATACTTGGTTTCAGGGGGGAATTTCAGTGTCTGGTGTCTTTTGAGCTTTTACTTTTGTGATCCTGCAGTGAAAGAGAGGTGGAGTTTACAACTGCGTGCTGTTCCATTGAGTCCTGTAGTGGTAACTGAACCCTTTTCTAATCATGAATACAGGTCATTTGCCCAAAGGGCTAGATATGATCGGATAATCTCAGCCATACACTGTACGCTCAGTCTCAGGATTAACTTGTTCTTTGACACAGATCTGAGGATCAGTTTTCCCCACCCTTTTTGTGACAATGATGAATGCTGCCTTGGTACCAACACATACAGACTATAAAGACACATTGCTTAGAATGGTATTCATGATCACGTTTCTAAAGCAAACCAAGAAGAGTGTCCAAGACTGAAGCCCATCCAGCCAGGGTGCATTCTTTTTGACTGTTGATGCAGAGTGCAGATCTGAACTTCTTAATGAATGATGCCACTGAGATGCTGTAGTTCCAAAGTTCAACATATGTCCTTGTCTTTTCTTAAACAAAAAATCACCAATTACAATGTTTTGTGTAAAGTTCCTGTGTCTTACCTCACAGCTGTGTGTGGTGATGATCTTCCTGGTGACGGTGGTCATGTGCCGCGGCATCATCAGCGTGATAATGTTCCAAACTGGGAAGCCCGTCCTACGTACAGAGGTATATCAGAGCAACAAACAACATCTCCAGTTGATGTATGGATAAAATTACTACCTATTAATATTCTAAATAATGCTTTTTATATTTCACATTTTGTTCTGAAGTCTACAGTATAAATTACATGTGTACATCAGACCTTGAACAGCTTTGTGTCCTCTATGCCAACTGTGCGTTCATTTGTGTCTCGCCCTCAGGCAGGGACCATAGCCACCATCTCCAGCAGTATTGTGAATCTGGGCCTCATCCTGTTGATGGGCCAGGTCTACACTGCATTAGCTGAGCAGCTCACTAAATGGGGTAAGAATCAATACTGCTCTCTAACACCTCAAACCTCAATCCTGTATATTAGTATCAGCATCTCAAGGGATCCCTACAAACTAAAAACTCAGAGAGCAGATAATGTCTTGATCTTGATTCCAGCCTGTAGGATTAAAAAAAAAAAAATAGTCATTGCAGAGTGGAGCAGTACATGCTGCACCACAGCACTGAGCACATGTGACACACCAGAGTGTCTTTAGTTGTGTTTTTGCCATATTTAGGTAGCAGCCACATCTCAACAACAGATAGACAACACTGTTAAAATCTGTTCAAGAATTACAGGAGTGAAACAAAGAGACTTGCGTTCTTTTTGTAACCAGTAAATTGTCTGGAAAGCATCAGCTAACGTGACCTCAGCTGACCACGTTAGTCTAAATTGTTCATTCCCTCTGCAGTTGATTGTCTTGATGGATGTTTTAATTTTCTTGTGTTGCATTATTTTTTTCGTTTTAATGTTGTTACTGTTTTTCTTTACCTATAAATATTATAGAAATCATTTTAAATGGCCTGTGTTTGAAATGTACTATATATATAATACTGCCTTTGATTTTTATGTTATTTAACTAGTCCGTTACAGTGTGTTGCATGAGCTGCTAATTGCCCCAGTGGGATTAATAAAGTTGTTTGTATATGCTTTATAATTTGGAGAATTGTGCTTGTTAGTTAATGTTGTTTAAATTCAGCAGATATAAATTGACAGACCTAACCTCCAAATTCCAAAACTGATGAATTTAGCTTTATTATTTATTTCAGCCTCTATGTTCATGTGCATTACATCGCCTCCTGTGTCACTTTTAAAAAATGGATGGTGATCTTTCACATCCTATAAGGTACTGTACCATTATTATTGGATTTGAGTTAGCTGACATAGTAAAGGTAAAATAAAGGTTATGTAAAATAGAATAACAATATATTCACCAAGTTATTGTTGAGATCTTTTCAAATGGCTATGAAAAGCCAAACAAGCCAAGATTCACGCACAGTCATATAATGAGAAGGTTTTTATGCCGGGTAGTCAAACGTCCCTGGAGGACTAAACAAAGACAGACTGTGAAATTATTGAGGGTTTAATGTCTTTAACCCTGTGCGCCTTTGTTCTCCTTGTGGCAGAGATGCACAGAACACAAACCCAGTATGATAACGCCTTCATCTTCAAAGTGTTCATCTTCCAGTTTGTCAACTTCTACTCGTCTCCCTTCTATGTGGCTTTCTTTAAAGGAAGGTGAGTCTGTTTTAGACACGGACACAAATAGTGTTTTGACCAATAAGATTTTAACTGTGTCTTACTTCTCTGTGAGGGTAGGTTTGTGGGTTACCCTTCCAGTTATGGGACCTTGTTTGGGATGAGGAATGAAGATGTGAGTCCCTTCTTCCTACATTTGGATGATCTGTAATTTCACAATAAATAAAAGATTGTGATATTGATTTTTATCCAAGTACTGAAAATAAAAAGTAATGCTCCACCTGTATATCTGTGTCTTCATATTGCAGTGTGGACCTGGAGGTTGTCTCATTGAGCTGGCTGAACAACTCTTCATCATCATGGTGGGAAAACAACTCATCAACAACATTCAGGAGTTTGTTATTCCGTATGTTTCCATTTGACTGATGTACAAGTACCATGTCCATTTCCAGCATATTTTTTCCTGTTTTTATGTAACAGTTTCAAGGATATCAGCCCTTTCAAAAATTAGAATTAATATAATATCAGTGTGTGTTTGTGTTTATTATAATATTATAATATCTGGCATAATATCTATAATTGCTTTATCAGCCTTCATGACATTATAATGCTTTTTTGAAGACTTTCCACACACTGCTATGTATCCTTAATACAGCTGCATTTCTTTGGTGCACTAAGACTCATCATGGTTCCTCTGCAGCACTGGCATAGTGTGTGTGTGTGTGTGTGTGTGTGTGTGTTCAGACAGAGCAGAATCAGGGTTGCCGACCACTATAGTAAATAAAGTAATTTAGCAAATAGTCAGGTAGCCTTTGAAGAAAAATTGAAGATGTTCCTTAAGGTTCTGACCACTAGTGGTGCTGTAATGCAGCATTCTCCTTCTTTCACTAAAACCTTCGGATCCCGACTCTGAACCAAAGAAGCCAGTGTACAAGAGCAAAGAGAGCTGAGAGCCACTTGTGACTGTTGCCCAAGCCCAAAAAAGGAAGTCTGCAAAAGCAAAAACCGAAAACAGCCAATTTGGGCCAAACTCCAGTGCTGCACTTCAGAAAATAACAGAAATAGACACCCTGACAACAGAGCATAAATTAAACCAGAATCGCGAACAAGAAGAGCCAAATGAACAAATCTTTTAAGGGAATAGATCAGAAAGAGCCAGCTCTACAAAGTAAACAGCTTTTACCATCAGTAATCTCTACCAGCTCCGGGGCTGTGGTTCTGTAGGCGAGTCTGACCTTCCTGTGCTGAGTGTTCAAGTTCTGTATTAACATTCATGTTTACTTTCCACTGACAAGTGTACTCTCTGCCTGTTTGTTTTGACAGTAAAGTGAAGGCCTGGCGCCAAAAGAGAACTTTGACTAAGGTGCTGGGAGGTAAGGCATCTCATGAGCCTCGGCGTTGGGAGGAGGACTACCAGCTGGTGGAGTGTGAGGGCCTATTCGAAGAGTACTTGGAGATGGGTGAATATCTATAATTCTATCTAAAGCACATAATGTCTGCCCATCAGATGCAATCAACAATTCCAAAAACAGTTCAAATATTAGTATATTCTGGTATGCTGAAGGTATGTAAACAAGAAATAATGTAAGAAATCATCTGGTGTATTTCATTGCACAAATAAAGAAATGACCTATTGTGCTGCAGTGCTTCAGTTTGGGTTCATCACCATCTTCGTGGCGGCGTTCCCCCTCGCTCCACTATTTGCTCTCCTCAACAACTGGGTGGAGATCCGTCTGGACGCCCACAAGTTTGTATGCGAGTACCGCCGACCGGTGGCGGAACGCGCCCAGAACATCGGTGTCTGGTTCATCATACTGGAAGCCCTGTCACATCTGTCTGTCATCGCCAATGTAAGTTGATTGGAAATGATGAAGATCCATACCAGACTCAATATAATATCCTTTTCAGTATTATCTCATTCTTCTCCATCCACAGGCTTTCCTTATAGCCTTCACATCAGATTTTTTACCTCGTCTGCTCTACCAGTACAAGTTTGATAATGATCTCAACGGTTACATCAATTTCACCTTGGCTTATGCACCACTTAACTACACTGAGTACCCCATGTGCAGGTATGGTATGGTGTAGGCTGATTATTTGAATGCATGTAAGAGAGAGGGGTGACACTTGATTTAAAATTTCCACATGTTGTCTTCCAGATAGAGTCGCAAGAAAAAGTAATTGCACTATTTACAGTTTTCTGCATAAATTCGTCATGAAATGTGATTTGATCTTCACCAAAGTCAAAAATATCAACAAACACAGTGCTTCTAAGCTGATAAACACAGTCAGTCATGATCTTTCATGTCTTTGTTCAACACCCTTTAAACATACAAAGTGATGGTGGATTTAGCTGGAAAGGGTTACAGAGTCATCTCAAAGACTTTAGACATTCATCAGTCCACAGTCTGACATATTGTATATAAATGGAGCTGATCTGGTACTGCGGCTACTCTCCACGGAGTGGGCGACCAACCAAGATCACTCCAAAGGCACAACACAGAATGCTCACTGCGGTAAAAAAGAGCCCTAGAGTGACAGCTGAAGGATTCAATGTTCATTATTCAGCCATATGTAAAATACTGAACAGGCATGGTAACCATGGCAGGACACCATGGAGGAAGCAATTGCTCTCCAAAAACAACACTGCAGCAGGCCTGAAGTTTGCCAAAGACCACCTTGACACTCCACACTACTGGGAAAATGTCCTGTGGACAGATGAAACGAAAGTAGAATTGTTGGTTAAAAACACAGAGCACAACGTATGGTGTAAAAAGAGAACCGCGTACCAACGTGAAATCATTATCCCAACAGTGAAGTACGTGGGTCTGCTTTGCTGCCTCTGGACCTGGACCGCTTACCATTGTGGAGGGGAAAATGAGTTCCCAAGTTTATCAAGGTATCCTACAGGATAATGTCAGGATGGCTGTCGGCAAACTGAAGCTCAAAACAAGCTGTTTGATGCTGGACAATGACCCTAAACAACAAAGTAAGTCTACTATAGAACAGCTTCAGAGACACAGAATCTGCCTTTTGGAGTGGCCCAGTCAGAGCCCAGACCTCAACCTGATAGAGATGCTGTAGAATGACCTCAAGAGAGCCGTTCACTCCAGACACCCTAAGAATATGACTGAGCTGAAGCAGCTCTGTGAAAAAGAATGGTCCAAAATTCCTCCTGAATGTTGTGCAGGTCTAACCCACAGCTACAGGAAGCACTGGCTTGAGGTTACTGCTGCCAAAAGTGGTTCAACCAGTTATTAAAACACCGTTGACATTACTTTTTCCACCATTTTGTTGTATGTTTAATGGGTGTGTTCAATAACGACCTGAAAGATTATGACTGTTTGTATTTTATTATTTTAGAAATATTGTGTTTGTTGATTTTGGTGAAGATCAGATCACATTTCATGACCAAGTTATGCAGAAAACCAGGAAATTGCAAACAGTGCCATCATTTTTACTTACAACTGTGTTTCATATACTGTCGTTTAAGCAAAATCCTTGAAAAGCTTCCAAGTGTCACTTTCACTTTTCATTTTGCTTCAGATCATAGACTTGACCAACAGAGGTTAATATTACTGATTGTTCTTATGTAGTACTGCTGCATATCATGTACACTTTTTACTAACTTTGTTTTTTTTTAATAGATATAAAGCGTACAGAGACAACAATGGAAACTACACACTGTTTTACTGGGAGCTCCTTGCTGTCAGACTTGGTTTTATCATTGCTTTTGAGGTATAAAGGGATTCGCTCTGTCTCTGTTTCCTTTTGCTTGTTTCAGTCATTTTAATATCTAAATTTTATTCATTTTTATAATTCCTCTACTTCTCTATCCCAAGTTGTACCTCGGGTCCATACGTGAAGCCATTTAGCTGTAGTTCATGTTGTGTTATTTTATAGCTGACATGCATTATAATGCTGCCATGTCTCTCTACTTTTTTCTTTCTTTAGTGCTTTTTATATTTTTCAAATTTTTTCTTCATCTCTTTTTCAAATTTATACTGTATTTGTATTTCTGCTTTATCTCCCTCCTTTTCTCACCCTGCTCTTCCTCTTTGTTTGTTTGTTTACACTGACGTTTCTGGAATTTAGCTGACACTTTTAAGTCAAAGTATGCAAGTAGAATAAACTTTTCATACAGATTTACTGTAGAAATTCCACCGAACCAAAGCTGAGCAGGACAAACATTCTGGCCTTGTAGTTTTTCTCTGAACACTAAACTGTGAACAGGGATCTTGATGATAGAAATTTAACAAAGAAAGTATAGAAAATGTATTCTAGTCAATTAAAATTTGAAATTTCTTAAAAACTCAGGAGACTGGGAAATCTTTTAAAATGTGTAATGTAATGAGAAACATCAATGAACCTGGGAATCCTGAGGTGGAGTACTTGGAGCAAATCACTAACAGATTCTGAACTAGGCATTCTTCTAAAACTTACTTGTCTTGTCGCCCTCATCAGTAGTTCACAAGTTTGTTCAGTTGTTGTGAAGTAAATTTCATCTGCTGCAAAGGCAAAAAGTGCCTGAAAGTCTCCGTAGCGGAATGGAGTGGCAGTGGAGTTGATACTTTTTGTCAGTTTCAAGGTCAAGGTTGCCTTCAAACTCAAACATAACATGCTGCTTTCCACATCTTTAGACTAGTTGTATACTCACAGTGTGACAGGAAAGGGTTTTTGCTTATGTGATGTCTCCCCTCCTCTAGCATGTCGTGTTCTTTGTACTGCGTGCCATCGACTGGATTGTACCCGATGTCCCCGAGTTCCTGGAGCTGAAGATCAAGAGGGAGCGCTACCTGGCCAAGCAGGCTCTGGCTGAAAACCAGGAGGCCCTGCTGGTAAGTCGAGGCCGAGGGGCTGCCCCTTCCACTCCAGGTTCCTTCAGCCCCGATCAGTAGAACATGGGATGCACACACTGTGCTGTGCAGCACACACTCGTTCATAACTCCTAACACTCCAGTTCTGTTATTGAATGATTAGGATAAGAGCAAGTTTTGAATGCTGGACCTAAATGTCAGACTGATGTCAAATGTTGATGTCCATACTGTGTGTTTCCACACAGGTGATCAACAACACAATGCACCAGCAGAGTTCACACACCACATACAGTATTAAACCTGCCGCTGAGACTGGATTACTGTAAATAAATTCCACATTATAAAGGCATTGAAAAGTTTACCTGCCTGTACCCACATATAGTATTCCACATTATAAAGGCATTGAAAAGTTTACCTGCCTGTACCCACATATAGTAGGCTTTGCAAAGCACCTGCAGCTCGACTAGGTGTCATAAACTCACTACACTGCACACATGATCATTAAAGGTAATCTGTGTGGGATCGGAGCCAAATATATCAGTGCAGATGAATTTGAATAGATCCACAAACCTTGTGGGCTGACACCTGTCAGCATAGGTTAGTACTTCCTCTCTCAACACAGCTGTGGAAGGTTACCTGACATAATGGAAGTATTTCACTGGAATAAAATGAAAAATGACTTCAAGCAATTACTTCTGTCATAGTTCACGCTCTGCACTTGAAGATCAGAGCCTGTTATGTCCATAGTCTCCTCATGGAGATCATATTCCCAAAGAGCATACATGTCCTCATTTATGTGTGTGTCCTTGTGCTCTGACTCATGCTGTTGTCATGTGTCTCATCTTTTGCTGGATGGGCTCAGGTGAATACTACACCTAAGTCAGCAAAATAACTGTAATAGACAAGTGGTGGACAGGGGCCTTGGATTGCACCAGAGATACAGCTGTTGTCAGGGGGCCCAAAATTATTACAGTGGTTGGTCCCCTTGTCTCTATTTTGGGGTTGGATGTCATAGTAGCTGCATGTGGAGAGTTGGGGAGTGAATGCATGCAAGATGTTGTAAATGCTCAACTAGGGCAGGATGATATGATGAAAATCATACTATTAATAGAAATATATTTTATATATGGCAAATTTACAAAGAATAAAATAATGTTCAATGCAAATCTATAAAAAAAAATCTTATTTATATTTTTTATAACACGGAAGTATCACCCAGCCCTGTGCTCAACATGAACTGCAGGTCCACCGGTCTAAGTTATATCATGTTTGTGCATTAGAGGAGGCATTGTTAGCTAACTTAGCATAAAGACTGGAGGCATCTGGCCTGACTCTGTTTAAAGAAAAAAAAAACTGTCAACACGCATCTCATTTTTTTTGACTTGCAGATGGACATGAATACAAAGAAACATTGATTTGTGAATTTACAAATAATAGTTTGTCTGCCCAGTGTTTCATTGCGGTCACCTCTGGTTGTATTGTAATTGGTAGGCTTCGGATTTGGTTTCCGAAATTGTACTAAATCTGGAAACCGCACTGTGACAAGATTCTGAGATGTTGCGGAGAGTTGCATACACTTATTCCCTCTTTGGCAAAGAGTTGAGTGAGGAGATTCATACCACTTTTGAATGTGTCCATTATAAACAGCGTATGCTAGCACAAACTCTGGAAACAGGGACCAGGACCGTCCTGTAGTTTTTGCTTGGTAAGAATAACCTCAGAATCTTAGAAATGCTGTAGCTGACACACAACACCCTTAAAACAGTGAACACGTAATAGTACATTAAACAGACAAATTCAGACGGGAGGCTAGTTAAAGGAAAAACCTGAACAAATGAGCGGTCTCTTCCAGACTGACAGTGCCCCCATCCACAGGGCATGAGGGGTGATGCGAATCACATGCTGTGGCCTTCTCAGTCACCAGATCTCAACCCAGGTGAACACCTATGGGAGGTTTTAGATCAACATGTTAATGCCAAGGTGCACTGAAGCTGTTCTGATGGCACATGGTGCCCAGCACCTTACTGAGACACTTTGTGTTGGTTTTTCCTTTTTTTGTCACCCGTCTGTATGTAAGAGGTATTGCTCTTCATCTCTAACTTAATAAAGCTAAAATGTGTATTTCCCAAAATGTCAAACTTTTGTTTTAAATAATTAAGCTGTTGATTAGTGAGCTCCTGAGGTGTTTCTAGGTGTATTTTTAAACTTTGGACAGAGCCAAGCTACAGTAGCAGTTTCCCAGCTTCTAGGCCTTATGCTAAGATAGGCCACCTTAGAGAGCACTCTCAGAGAGCACTCCAATTTTTTTTTTTTTACATCTTACAGTAGACACTTTGACAGAACTAATTATCTCCTGTCTCTCTGCTCCTTCCCCATTCCTTCTATGTCTAAACCCAACTGCACTGCCTCCCCTGAAGCAAGTGACGCGTCCTTTGGAAGCATGAGTTAGGACTTGGAATATTGGAGAAATAAAAGACACTGCTATGCATCTGGAATAACAAGAGTGAACGTTTATCCTGAGTGGGCTAATGTCTTTGCACTGGAACTCTTTTTTTTTGTTTCATTTATTACTGCTGCACACATATCATAATACACAGATGTGTATCATGTGTATGAACTCACTTCACCCACCTTTTCATTTGGAGAATACACCACCTTTTTCAGACTGATCACCAACAAATATAATAATATACTGATGCTAGGCCTGAACAGGTTACATCTCCACATCTGTCCTCAATCTACGTATAAGGACATGACACTTTTTTTATCCACACTGGGTACTGACCTACAGCAACTGGGACATAGCCTGAGTGGACTTTAAGGAAATTGAACAAAAATATCTTTAAAATCTGAGTAGTATAGTTGCACAACTGTCCAGTTTACATGAGACTTACCAGAGTATGATGCTGTAGCAAGGGTATTTAATTATTTATTTTTTGTCTTAGTAGGAATGCACATAAACATGATTCAATTTGAGTAAAATATACCTGTTAGATGATAAAGTCAGTGGCCCTTTGGACAAAGTGCAACACACTTGAATAACAGACACAATATTTAACATAGGGGCACCTCATCCATATTAGTAATTTGCTTTGTTTCCATTGGCAAGCTAAAGTAGCAGCATGCGTTGTTAATGCTGTCATACTGTTGTAAAGTTGTTGGGTCTGTTCAAATTTTTACTCAGCAGTGTTTCACCTTCAGCAATGTGAGTCAGAACCAACCTGAGGGGGATCCAAGATGCTGATTGGGTCCTCTGGAGTTCAGGTCTGTTCAGTGACCTTTACTATGCATCACAGTGAATGTCCTAGTAGTAAATCAATGTTGATTGTATGTTTTTAATGTCATTTAAAGGTGAACTACACAATGGGTGACATTACAGCAGAGGCTGTGGTATCTTGAATTTCGGTATGGGTCAAAATCCAAAAACACTTCCTATAATGCAACTTGAGAGCATGGTTATGAAGAGTCTTTATAGAGGAGTTATTAGAGAAGATTTATTTATTTTATTTTTTCCAAAGGCAAGCAACTGTTTTAGAGATGATCTGGTTCTTCTAGTCAAAGCTACAAGCCTGTGTAGATCACTGACTTACAAGGTGCATTTTGGTTGGAAAAAAACCTCTTTAGAGTTATGATAAATACAATGTTAATAGTAAATAAGAAATTCATTGTCATTTCTAAGTAAAGCTCGCAACTACAGCGCCATGTTTTGTTCAATACTTTCCCTAGTCACAGCAGGGAAAATCCTTCTGTAACCAATGACTCCTCTAACTTTCTTATTAGCAATTTGATTAGATTCTCTCTGTCAAAACTTTGTAGTTAGTGAAGGTGCTGATAGTTATTTTCTCAGATTTGACAGATCTACACTAGAGCAACAGATGATATTAGACAACAGGCTGAGAAGTTCCCACTATGACTGGAAAATCTAATCTTGTGTAAAATTGTTGGCATGCCCCTTTAAATTGAACTTGCATTGTCTCCTACTTGTTGGTGAGCACTGACTCGAGGTTAACGTATGGTTAGCTGATACTGTACTTGGGATGAAAAGAATTCTGCAGAAACATATACATGCATATAATACTGTACATGTTTTACTATCTATGAGTCCTGAGCATGTCTATCTTTTGTACTAGAAGCCTCTGCACAGTATTCATATGGAGTATTTCTGTTGCTAATGCACAATATTGTAAAAACTTTAGTATTGAACATAGTTTGTGTGTGAGCTGTTTTGCATTCTAGAGATTTTAGACCAAAATAAATCTAGTTTGATGAATGCAAATGCCTCCTCAGATGTGTCAGTCCTCTCTATAGCCCCTTAGCGCACCCCCCACCCCTTGCCTTCCCTTCTACATCTCAGAGAAGATAACCTTCTCCAAGCAGACGGGTAACAAGGATGTTGATTTATTAAGAGTCCAAAAGTGGCAGCTGTTGGTTAATGATTTTTGTCTTCCCCTCTCTCCTCCCATCACACGCTTCACTGATGGCTATAGCTTTGGGCAACCCCTGACTTTTATCTCTTCTCTTCTTAGCCTCCTGTTCCTGCTCACCCTTTCTTCTGTGGGGTTCACCCTTCTCTCTCTCCTCCTCCCATCTCTTATTTTAACCTTGCTTTCCTTGTTTTTTTGTTGTTGTTTTTTTAAACACTCCTCCTTTTCTCTCTCTTAGCTATATTCATCTTCTGATTGTTATGATTGCTGTGCGTTCCTCTGCCTTGGCCTGCAGGAAGAGTGAGTTAGTACATGTCAGCGAGCACAGGTATGCACTGTGGACACCAGCTGGCTCATTCACCGACTGGTGGAATTAAGAGGGAGACACTCACATGCACAGGCTTTGAAACATACTGTAGCTCTCAATCAACTGCAAGGTAACCATACAGCAAAGAAGTCACTGCAGTGTCACACATAAAGGAGATTTTTCTGAAAGTGTAACAGACAGAAATGTCTGTTTATATTTGTAATGAGGCCGAGATGTGATCATTATATGTGCATTATATCAAATATATGCACAGCCACATAAAATGATCGGTGAATTAAAACAAAAGTCAGGGTGGCACGGTACTGCAGTGGTTAGCTTTGTCGCCTCACTGCAAGAAGGTTCCGGGTTCAAGCCCCTACCAACCCGGGGCCTTTTATGTGAGGAGTTTGCATGTCCTCCCTGTGCCTGCATGGGTTCTCTCTGGGTACTCCGGCTTCCTCCCACAGTACAAAGACATGCAGCTTAGGTTGATTGGTGACTCAAAATTGCCCATAGGAGTGAGTGTGTGTGGTTGTTTGTCTACATGTCAGCCCTGCGACAGACCGGCGGAGGTGTACCCAGTGTCAGCTGGGGTAGGCTCCAGCCCATATGCCCGTATTCAGGAATAAGCGGTATAGATAATGAATGGATGGGTAAGACAAACCTTATTAATCGTCAGGTTACAGTTCATAATTATTTTTATTGCCTTGCTTTACTGCCAAACCCACAAAACCTAGTGGAGACTTAGGAGTCTAGATATGCCAGGCTGAAATATGCTGAACTGTATGTCCAAAATACTTTTTTTTAACACTATTAAGCAAAATTTGTGGCTCACTGCTTACTAAATTTTCCACTGTGTTCACCAGTTACTACCTGACTCATTTTGGTTCACACTTGGTACAGGGCACATACCACATCTTTCAGTGGATTTTTAGAGCTTTTGTTGGTGCCTGCCGCCACTGAATACCAGCTATAAGAGATCAGAGTTTACAGGCTGGAAATTTTAAAACAAAGTCAAAGCTTTGTAGAGTTGAATGATCATTTTCTGCGGAATTATTTCTACAAGTGAATCCTTTCATATGACACAATTATTTCACAAATTGTTAGTAAAAGAATACAGATTGGTGCAGCTTTCAAGCTATTTAAGGCAAGGCAAGTTTATATAGCATCTTTTTACACAACAAGGCAATTCAATGTGCTCATTGCACACAGATCTAACATTAAAATGTATACACACTGTAGATAAAACATTAGAATATAATTACATTAAAACAAGGCAAATTAAAAACAACAATCACTTGACAGCAAAAAGTACCAACATGCAAGTGTAGATACCTTGTACATTTAAGGTAGCTGTGGCAGACTGTGGATTCTCACTGTTCTGAATGTACTTTCTACCCCTTTCATCGATCTTCCCAAGACTAACCCATGAGTAATTTAACACTAGAGGCAGGTGTAGGTTTTTCCCCCCCAGGAAATGTGAAACATCAGTTTATACAGTCTGCTAAACAGTTGTTAAAGAGAAATAGGGAAATAAAGGGAAAACTATTACAAGGGGGGTTAAATAGCTGTGTCAACCATGCCTGCATGAGGTTGACAAATTAGATTTTATTTTTTTCCTGTGTGTGTGTGTGTGTGTGTGTGTGTGTGTGTGTGTGTGAACATCCTCCATCGTATTCAACCAAAATTATTTTAAATTGTCAGCCAGGTTCTGTTTCACCCTACATATTGTCACAAAAGTGAGAATATTTATACAAAAGGAAAATAAACAACTGTCAAACCTTAGTGACCTGTTTTCCTCTAACAAAACTGAGGACAATTAGACCTCCACTAAATTGCCGTCCCGAGGAAACCCCACACCACCCACCACCATCCTTTTCACATCTGATTAGTGAACATAGTTAATACAGCAGCATGTGGTGAGCACTGAAAGAGACGAGAGAGTTCAAGCATGCCTTAGCAGCTTCTTTTTGTCAGCAACTCACTCTGATATTTAGTGAGCTGCACATACACAGCCAAGGGCCCGTCTAGCACACTCATGCAAATGCATATATGCATAAAGTGTAATATGTGAATGTATATTTTTGCATGTGTGGTTTGGTGCTTGTTTTAAATTTGTATGTCTAAGTTCACATTCACACATTTAAATAATGCAAGGATAGTGCATACACCTTTGCCCACCACCAGCATGTGTAGATACACATATGCATATTTTTATTTGTACACGCTTGCACAGGGAGTGAGATTTTTCATTCCCACTCCATCGTTTCCCTCCTCTTTCTGTCTCAAAGCAGGTTCTGAAGTGACACACTAAATAACTATTAGAGTTAGGGTAAGAGAGGGGGAGGAGAAAGAGTAAATGAGAGAGCACCTCCCCAACAGTGGCAATGTGAGAGAGAGAGAGGGAGGGGAAGGGAGCAAGAGGGAAGGGAGAGCAGAGGAGCTTAGCGAGGAATCTGCATTATAATTAGCTCTGAGAGCTGGTGGCTGTTTTTCAACCAGTTTTTGTTTTCTTTAGGAAGAGAACAAGAAGAAGAAGAATCAGGCAGAAGAACACACATTTGAAAAGTCTGAGCTGTTTCAAAAAAGAAGCAGAAAGAAAAAAAGGAGGAAGAAGCCTGGAGGAACACAAGGCAGCGATGGACCGCAGAGTGGCTCAGTCTGACCCTGGGGTGGCCTGGATTCACACACTGCTGCTGGCCACCATCCAGCACACACACTAGGCTGCCAACGCCAGTGAGGTACAATGCTCTCTTTTCTTACACACAAAAACACAAAGCAAAAAAAATCTACATGCACTTTCCGCCTTCCTGTTAGTGTTTTGCTCCAAGTTAGAGATTTTTGCTACTGCGAGCAAAAGTCAACCTGTGTTATTTGCCAGAGGGTGAAGGTTGTGTTTTTGTGTGAACTTGGAGAAAGTAGTGCTGCACCTCCTGTCAGGTGCATTGCATTTATCTCACAGCATATATGTTCTGAAAACAAAGGGAGATATCATTAATATGTGGGACACAGAAAACAATACAACTCTGTTTGCCTGGATATTGTTTTGTCTTTACTAACAACTAGCTGTTTAAATGAATTCAATGCACTGCAGTGGAATACAGGGTTAAATGTGAAATGTGATCATTTTGCCTTTACGTTTCTTGCAACGCAAAAATTGTAAATATCCAGCTCAAGTAGATGCATTAATCCTGGCAGTGGAATCTCTATTCATGTATTCTCTTGGAAGAAGTTGCGGCTTGCATCAGTAATGTTTTCAGCAGCTCCCTAGGCAGTGCATTTTGAGGTGAGTCTTGAATGTGATGGTTACAGTGCAGCAATGAGTTGTTGCAAAGCAGGGCAGGTAAGTGCATGTCTGGAGTATGTTGGATGTGGGTTTGTTAAAAACTGTACATGGTTGAAACTTGGCAATGCAGCTCATACACTCTGTTCTTCTTTTTGGGACATTTTAGCATAAGTCTGTTTATCTGCCTGTAGCTTCAGGCGAAGAAAGAGGAGTTCACTGAGGAGTGTATGTGGATCTGTGTGTGTGTGCTCTTATACATATGATGTATATGTTAGTTAAGGTGTTCATGCACATACTACATACATGTGTGTTTCCCAGAAGAAGAACACTGTAGCTTGGGTTTTCCTTCACCCTCTCACACTGTGTGTTTGTTCAGTTGCGGCCGAGCTGTTGACACGGCTGCATGAGGGACAAACAACAACGTAAATATGACATTCAGCAGCCAAATTTGGATTTACAGCACTGTGGAAGCTGCTTAGTGTGGTGATTGTGACCCACATCTGAAGCACATTATTACTCCCCAGACAGAAATGCCATCAGTGAGAAGGTGAGCTGAGGTGATGGCTGCCTTTCTGTCTGCTATTGTGATGAGTAAGCATATTGTCATGTAAACTGACTACTGCTGCTGCTGCTGTTTGCATATATTGACTGGGGGCACAATTAGATAGCTGTGGGTGTTTTCTGGGTTATCAGTGGTATCTTTGACTGGAGCACACCACCTGCATGCTGGTAGATGTACCAGCACAAAGCTCTCCTTGGAAAATTGGAAAAGAGATTTAGGGTGACTGATTTGCTTTAGCCGCGATTGAATTTCTACTGAAGATTTGATTTCATGCTGCATGGCTGCTCATATTACAAACACATTTATAACTTCGCTCACCACAGTGCCCCCTCCCTTTCACCACTTCCTCTCCCCCTCTGCAACTGTATGTCTGGAGCACACCTGCCCCATCACCTGCCACTCAGACAGTGACTGTCTGAGTGTGTGTCTGCTGTAGGGAAGCGATTCAGGATGCCACACCTCACACTCAACCCACCTATGAACCAAGCAAAGCTTGCTTGAATGCAAAAGCTGCCCAAGTGCCTCAAGGTGTTTACATTCATGTGCACGTATACATGCTTAGCCGCTAACCTGAATGTGTGTCTATGCTCTGTTTTACACTGATCTGTTTAGTTAAAACCCTTAGGCAGCCTGCCTTCTAAACATCAGTGACACTTGTACTTTCAGGAGGCTCACTCGGCCTTTTGGCTTGTGGCCTAAATAGCAGCGGCCTTAATAGCTCATAATAGCAGTCCAGCTCTTGCACATTTATGGTTGAATTTCTTTGTTTATTTTCTACCATGGCTTAGCAGTCAGTTTCAAAGGAATGAGCATGCTGAGTCATTGAGGGAATGTGAAAAAGTGTCTGTGCGTTAGAAGGTCTCCCACGAAGGTTGGGCACTTATAAAACAGGCCACCTACTTAGTTGCAATCCGTGTATTCTGTTAATAATAAAATAATGTTAGGCTTTAGAAATTACATAAACCATGCATTTCTGAGACAGCAGTGCACAGACCGTTTATTGGCTAATCTGCATGTCGGAGAATATTTGCTTATACATGAAGATTAAAATAGACAGAGGGTTAAAAGCTGAGCCCAGAGGTGACTTGTGCCGAACATGACCCCGGCTGCTCTGCGGTACACCTGTCTAGCACCTTAGCCCCCAGGTTATTTCTCATGGTGACTTAGCCAATACAGTGTGGTGTGTGCTTCAGTTATACTCATGTTAGATAAAACATTTCTGACTTAGGAGATATTGGTTCTTCACTAAAATGCTTGATTTGAGTCTCTTTGCTCTTCTGGAAAAAAAAACGCACATACACCAGGTATTTTTCAATAACTTTAAGGCTTGTTAGCTCCTTTTCAATTCATCACTCTAATCCTTTTGACACTGCTAGTATTCAGCTTGGACTTTTGAATAGTTTATAGCTTTAGCTCTGGGCTAAAGTAGACTTGTTTCTGGATGGCCAGTTTGTTTGCTGTATTCCACTTTTACATTATCATGTTTCAAAACAGCAAGCAGCTCACTGGATGGCTTGTCCATACCTGTCCAGATAATGAAAGCAAGAAGTGGTGCGGAGGAGGGGGATGAGGAGAAACTGCTGGTATTCAACTGGGGAAAAGTGGAGTGCAGAGCTAGAAAGCAGTGAAGAAGAGAACAAGAGTGAACACAAGAACAGATGAATGCAAGAGATGCATCAGCAGTTTGTTGTAAAGTAGGTCAGCCTCTTGAGCACTCAGTGGCAAAGGATCAGATTGGAATCAAAGTGCTCTGATTGACAGCTTGAGTACAGCAAACACAGTGTCCTCCTTTTTCTGTTACTTTAAACCAGGAAAAAACTTAAATGAAACTACTGCACATATGAGAATGGGACAAACACCTTTTAATGTTGCCTACTACCTAGCCACTAGTGCTGATATGCATTAACATAAAAATTTTCATGTAACTTTGACAATGGATTAAAGGATAAGGCTAAGTTTATTTGATTTACAGCCATGTAAACATTTAAGGATATGGTTGATGATAGTCTACATTTTGTTATTGTCGACAAATCCCATGATAAGACCAAAACCAACAATGCCTTAGTTCAGCTCTCAATACTTCCCAGCCTCCCCACCCTGTCACAAGCTGACTGGTTCCTTCTGAGGATCTTTAAAACAGGTCACAAATACAGCATAAAGTTTCAAGCTTATCTCCTAAAAAGGCTGGCAATACATATTCGGTCCTCTGGTTAATCTTTACAGCAGCAAGATAAGTGGTTTGGAAGTGACTCCAAATAATTATGGTCATGAAGAAACATGTCATCTACAGGAGTGTAGCTCACTGATGTGTTTTTAGAAGTGTTTGTGCTGATGACGGGGCCCTTTGGCATACTGCATTAACACTTTTATTCCACTGTGAGATATCTGAAAATTATTATAGCTACATATAAAATATCAAAGTCAAGATACTGTAAATCCGTAATGCTCTAGAATTACATTTCTTTATTCATTTTTCAAACATTTCTTGACAATAACCAGAGTTGACGGGTGTTTGCAAACAAGAAAAAAGTCAGTCTGTATATTTTTTTCAACAATAATATCACCACAGAGTAGAACAGTGACTATCTCCATTTGTAAATGGGCTATTATATGCTCCATTGTGTGTTCACTGAGCCTTGCTTGGTGAGGGTACTTTCAATAAATGAAAACAGAAGTTGCAGTACTGTGCAAAAGCCATTAGTTTTGTAGTTTTAGAAATGTTTTCATGATAATTTATAGATCCTTCTCAGTCTTGAGGTATAATCAGAAAATATAGGAAATATGTACACAACACATTTTGCAGAATAAAATGGCTTCAACAGTCCAAAGTCAGTATGTACTGTGACTTCCCTTTGCACTTAGCACAGCATGAATTCTTGAAACCATGACAGACCCTCCACCATGTTTCACTGAAGGCTGCTACACTCATTCTTCCACCTCTCTCCAACTCTTCCTCTCACATACTGTTGATGACTGGACCTGAAAAGTTCATCCTTCCATTCATCACTCCATAATCCTCTTTCCCACTGATCTTCACTCTAATCTTTGCAAGCTTTTGTACAGTATATCTCAGGCTTTTCTCCCCGTCCCCCTTCTGGAAATGTGGGTTGTTGGCTGCTGTCCTTCCACAAAGGCCGTTCCTCATCGAGCTTCTTCAGACTGTGGAACCATCAACTTGGCTTCCAAACAAAGATGTCCGACGCCGAGTCGGGTCCTTGCTGGATTTCCTCAGATCTCTCCAAGAATAAACTCTGACAAACTTCTCATCAGATTTGGACAGTTCTCTAGGTCTAACACTCCTGTTATTGTGTTAGACCTCCCTGGATTCTTCATATTTCTTTAGAACAGCCTGAAACCACATCTTGAGTATTCAGTTTGTTTGCTGAGTTTTTTTCTAATATTCTTCCTTTTTTTCCTATATTTTCTGAGAAATAAATGTACATAGTCACCATAACATTGCTAAAACAACAAAACTAAAAGTGGCCTAAGACTTTTGCACAGTACTGTATATCCTTTTTTTTCTTTAGGAACTCCCCCAAGTATAAAATATGCCAGATCTAGTAGGATATCAGTGTTTATGATTTAATTTTTTACCTACTTTTTTATGTTCTGCCAGAATCTCTGTAGAATCCCAGAAGGCAGGCAATCATTCCCATGCCATCATTCTGCATTTTCATCTGCACAGTTTTGTGGTGCTTTAATTGAACCTTGACCCGTTTGCTGGGCTTCTAAAAATTTGAATGGATTTAACTTTTCATATGTCCATGAAACCTGCCAAAACATCCTAAATCAGCACTCTTTTTCTTAGAATCTCACTGCATACAGATAACCATCATCTGTCAGAAGGTACTGATTATGAGATTTCTGGATTTACTGCGTGTTGGATCTGTGGC